CCCAACACCTCCCTAGGCTGACACCTCCTTCTTGGCCGGCACCTCCTCCCCTCCAGTTCATGTCCTGCCTGAAATTTTTTGCACCAAAGTGGTTGCAGGATTCCTGCTCCCCCTTTCCAAACCCATCAGAGCAGGCTGTGGGTAGGGTGAGGGAGGGCCGGCAAAGACATCTACCCAGCTGCCCAGGTCACACACAAGCCAGTGGCACAGTTCTCTCTTCTTGGCCCAAACTTGGAAGACTTAGAACGCCTTCATTTCAGACGTTCCCTCTCCCCAGGCTCGCATTTTAAAGCCTTTGCACTCTATCCAGACTTTATCTACATGTAAAGGAATTTTGGGAGTTATGCTGACGATATCATTTTTCGTCTCTGTAAGGTCCCTCGCTATATTCCCTTTTATCTCTATATCCCACTCCCTTTGCCTGCCCCTAGAGTTGTTCATTCCGTTCTGTTTATCTTTCGTTTTTATGTGCTCTTGCCAAAAAAGTGTCTTGTTTTGCTGGCATGGGTTTTAAATTTATGTGAAAGGAATTGTATTAGTTCTCATTCAGTTTTTCCACTCAATGCTAAGATTTTAAGATTGATCCTCAGTGCTTCTGCCTTTTCTCACTGCTGCCTCCTCACCATAGTGCTCATGGACCTTGTTTTATCTTTCCCTGCCCCACCAATAAAGGTAAAATAATCGTTCGCAAACATATCCCCTTACACAGTGCTTGTCAAACATTGGTGTGTACATGTATCCCCCGGGAATTTTGTTCAAAGGCAATCTCTGATTCAGTGAGTCTGGGGCAGGGCCTGAGACTGCATTTCTGATCAGCTCCCAAGTGGTGCCAAAACTCCTGGTCTTGAGACCACGTTTTGAGGAGCAAGGAACTTATGGACTTCTGTGAAGATTCACTTTGAGTTGCCAGAGCTTAGGTTATGTGTTGATCTAATTTGATGAGTATCACCCATCTGCCCTCCAGTCAGCCTGCACCTCCTTACCCCACACCTTCAGGGCAGGAGAATGAAAGGTTTATATTTATGTGGGGAGGGGAAGAAGGCCTTCTCCTCACTCTGCCTGTATCCTGTCTACCAGTGCAAATGATTTGGGCCCAAATCTCCTCCCTCCCTTAACTGGAATGGACCTGAGGCTCCAGAGCAACAATGCCCCTGGCCAACAGTCCATGGCCAAATCAATGATGGATCTAAGCCAGGCATCCTGGTCTCACCCTCACCACATAGGACCCCGAATCTTCAGCCTACCAGACGTCTAGAGTGGCTTGTCTCGTGACCTCCCTAGGCCTGGGCTTTATCTCTGACAGGTGCTCTTAAGAGTCGTGGGAGCTAGGCATGGTAGCTCACGCCTGTAATCCCAGCACTTTGGGAGGCAGAAGCAAGAGGATTGCCTGAGCTTATGGGTTTGAGACCACCCTGGATGACTTGGCAAGACCTTGTCTCTACAACAAATCAAAAAATTAGTTGGGTATGGTGGCACACGCCTGTAGTTCCAGCTACTTGGAAGGCTAAGGCAGAAGGATCACCTGAGCCCAGCAGGTAGAGTCTGCGGTGGCCGTGAGCTGTGAGTGTGTCACTGCACTCCAGACTGGGCAACAGAGTGAGACTCTGACTCTAATAAAAATAAAATAAAAAAAAAAGCCATGGGGTCTTCAGTTCGGTTGTTTGTGTTTCCTCCAGTCCCCTTTATTTTCCCTTGTGCAGCCTGTTAGTGCAGCCTGTTAGGACTTAGATGGGCCGGCCTCACCACTGGCAAGTGGCTATCCTGAGCCTGACTTCCCATCTCTAACATGGAACAGTGACTGCATAACTACAGCTTATTGTGCTAGGAACTCCTCCGGGTCCTTCACCTGCATGCCAGAAACCCCACAGGATCCCTGAGACAGATGTTCTTGCCTTTGTTCTAACCCATGAGGAAACGGAGTTCAGGAAGATTTAGTAATTTCTGTCAAGGTCATGGATTCAAGTACAGCCTCAGCTCGTACACCAAAGCCCATGCTAACCACAAGGCTGTGTCACCTCCATATCCTACCTTGCCTTCAGGTCATATGTCATGGAGAACTACAAAGAAACAAGAAGGAAAGACTAGTCTTTGAGTGTCAGGCACTGATGCTGAAGGCATCTAATTAGTGACCTGCAAGATTACAAAACTCTAGTAAATGAGTTTGGCAAAATGAACTAGGGCTCTAGGGGCTGATGCCTAGGGCCTGAGTATTTTGGTGGCAGGAGAGAAGGACCTTGGGTCTAGGGTTTCAGGAGCAAGGAATTTTTAGGGTTAGATACAAAGTAGGGGTCAGGAATGGGCAGGTTGGTCAAGGAGTGTGTGGGGCTCAGGTGAGTGGGTCTTAACTGTGGGCAAAGTTGTTGATCACATACCTTACTTGATAATAACTGATCACTCAATGTTTTGTTTAGAGGGGTCTTCAGGTGTACAGATGGTTAGCATCCAGGGCATCAAGGGGTGCCACCTTCCAAGGCCATTCTGGTGCCATGAGCAGCTTGCTGGGCCAGTTTTGGAAATCCCAGGGCTCTGCTTTCCCCACTCATACAGCTGTGCAAGTATCTCCTGGCACCAAGCCCCAGCCACAAGCATTTCATAATCAGAAGAGTCTAACATCTGCACATTTTGAGATTCCATGGCATATGACTTTCTACATCTTGTCCTCATCCTCCAACCTCTGTTTACCATTTTAGGGCCAAAATCCTATCCATGACAGAGCATTTCTCTGACAGCTTGGGGAAGCATCCTGCTCTTTCAATGGCCTTCAGGGTCAAAAGATCTTTTGAGCCGACAGAATGATCTTAGTGTTCAAAAAACAATATCTCACAGTTTTCTGGTCTTTACAAAGTGCTTCTTCACAAATAGATATTGCCTTTGACTCACAACCCTATGACAGGGTTGGGATCCACTCAACGCTGAGGCTCAAAAGAATTAATTGGCCAAGGCCACACATTGTGTAGCTGACAAAAATGTGACTTTTTTTTTTTTTTAATAACAGAACTTGGACTCTTAAAAGAGTTAGCAGGTACTCTCTGGGAAACTCACTACTCTGGTCGGCCTATTTCTCAGACTTGGGAATGTGCACTAGGGCAGGAAGTAGGGAGTCTTGGGAGGGTGATGCTTGCACTAAAAGGTTTGAGAGGTGAGGTGATGTCTCATGGCACTTATGGCCGGCCTCCTCCCAGCTAGGTTTTCATCAGTGGCCCCTTTGTAGAGCCTGGAAGTGGAGAGAGGAGATTGGTAGGTGGAATGGCAAGTCCAGGGGTACCCAGGTAGAAGTTCTCAATGAGTCTGTAGCTGTGACAGCTGAGCTGCTGTGAGAAAAACATGCTGTCAGTTGCCAAGAGGGCCCTAGTGGTGTCACCACTTTCACATGGGCACTCTCAACAGCTTGGCCAAGGACTAGGTGGGAAGGTCAAGGATTGTGTGGGGATTAGGTGGGTGAGTCTTAGCTGTGGCCAAGTTGTCGATCGCATACCTTACTTGGCAGTAACTGATCACTCAATGCTTTGTTTAGAGGGGTTAGCAAAGTCATCTGTCCTGTCCCCTCTTCTCAAAGTCCCTGGCCCCTCACACCAGGTACCCGCGGCATTGGCTTTAGGAGGGTGCCCTGGGGTCAGACTGGTCTATCTGTGGGCTCCAACAGCACAACACATGCCCTGCCCATGCCAGGGACTGGAGGTCTGCAGTCTGCCGAAGCCGTAGGCCCTGGTCCCACTGCCCTCCCTCTCTCCCAGGTCTCAGGCCCTAGGCCAGGACTCAACAGACACAGGCAGTGGGATGGGGTTGCCCTTCTATTGGTCCAAGTCCTGAGTGTAGCCTGGGTGTGTCATGGAGGTGAGGAGCCCCACCAGGCTCAGCAGCGTGGAGAAAAGCAGCAGGAAGGAGGCTGTGAAGAGGAGAGTGGGCAGGGCACTGAGCACCAGCAGCAGGACAGCCGGCAGCAGGTGATGCCACGCTGCAGCCACGACAGGCCACAGGGAGCTCAGCAGGTGGGAGCCGGTGGTGAAGAGCGCGTGGCATAGCATCAGTGCCAGCAGCAGGTAGAGTATCCCCTCCAGACCCCACAACACACGTAGCAGTGGCTGCCGCCAGGCCGATGTGCTCCACCACTGGGCCCAGCTCGGGGGCACGCGGCCCGCCCACCAGCGCACCCAGCCCTGCTGTGTGACCCAGGCCGACCAGGGCACCGGGCGCTGTGGCCCCTCGCCGGCCCCGATGGAATCTGTCTCCACTCGCGGCTGCTGCATCATGGTTGGTGCACCTGTGGAGAGGGCCAGGCCAGCTGCAGGAGCAGCCCTGGAGATATCTGGGACCTCAGGGTAGGGGAAGGTGCAGGGATCAGGAGGGCATCAGCGTGGGTGGGGTGGGGCTTTCAGCTGGGGCCTGAGACTTACCCCTGGGCAGCGTCACCTAAGTCATGTTGCTTCCTGCAGCACCCAGGATGGCCTCGCAGCCAGATCCAAGCCCCCACTCTTACCCACTCCCACCCTCCTTAGAGGAGCCCCTTTGTGACCCGGGCTGGGGTGGGGTCCAGCCAAGAGAGGGGCCGCTGCAGAGCGTGAGGCCCACCTGAGTTCCTGTCCATGGATCCTCCAGCCTGGCAGGGGTGCCTGGGGAACCCGCAGATGTAGTTTCTCATGCTTTCTTATGGGAAGTCCTCCCTGGATCCCTGTCCCTTCCCTGCTGACCGACATCCATCTCCACTCCACTCTCTTACAAGTCTCTCTCTGGATCCTCATTCTCCAGAACCACAGAGAGGCCAGAATGGCTGCCTCCAATCTGCAGCTCTGAGGCAGCTACCACATCCTGCCCCGGATCCCTGTCATGTATCCTGCCTTCCTCTGCTGCCCCAAGACCTAGGTATCCACTGCCCAAAATATGGGGCCAGTGGTCCCCTGAGATTCAGGCTGGGAATAAAGGGTATCTTCCCACCTGCACAGTAAGGATAGAGGAAAGGGAGCTTGAGGAAGCAGGATGGCCAGTGTATTTTTGGAGGGCACTCAGTTTTGAGGTGGAGCACTCAGACCCAAAAGGAGGCAGAAAGTCAGGCCGAGCAGGGCCAAGGGCACACCGCGGGCTCCCAGTAGCAGCCCCAGTGCCATGAGCAGCAGTAGCAGTGCATCCTGGTGGCGAAGTTGTCCTGTGACTGTCCCTGCCGGTAGGAATACAGCCTCCCGCCGTCTTAGACCCTCGCCAGCCCCCTGACTCCGGGACCTTGTGACAAGTTTATGCTGCAGCAGGGTGGGACCTGTGGGCCTGTGGAGAGAGAGGATAGCGGCTGGGTTTAGGGAAGCTGATCACTTGCCCACCCGCCTACAGCACCCACCAGCCAGGCTGCTGAGCACTTACCTGTGGAGCAGGTCGAAGGCGAGGAAGCTGACCAGTAGCAGCAGCAGCAGTAGGGCTAGGCCAGCCATGGAAAAGACTGCCTGGATCATCAGCCCTAGTGCCATCAGCCCTAGGACACTATCCAGGATCTGGACCCAGCTGGAGTCCATGAGGGTCACACATGGAGGCACTGGACTACCCAATCCCTCCCCAGCACCCAGGCCTCTGAGAGAAACCGGGATCAGATCTGCAGAGGCTTTGGGCCTGAGTAAGCAGAGCAGGGACATGGGGGGAGGTGGAGGTGACTGGAAGAGCTAGTGCTGGAAGGGAGTATGGGGATGGAAGTGTGGGAATGTGGGAAGGGAAAGGACCCTGGCAGACACTCAAGAGTGATCTCAGGGAGTGAGGAACTGGGTTCCTTGGGGATCTCCCCCTCCCCACATATTCACTGACCAAACTCCCCTCACCTACTCCCACTTTGGTCAGTCATTCTGGGACTGCACAGCTGAGGTATTGTGACCTGTTGCCAGGTGGGGATCTGGGGAAGGGAGGGGCCTGCTGCTGATCTGGTCTTATGAGCAGCTGGTGGCCTACGTGGGACTTAGCCAGAAAGCCAGGAATTTCTGAGAACTAAGACTCACCCTCTTGCCTTTGATAATTCTCTACCCTCGAGCCTTCTCTTGGGGATCTGTGTTGTCAGGAAGGCATTCTAACTCCATTACTACTTGGGCATCTGTCCAAGGATCTGCTTTCTTCTTCCTGTTAGTTCCCAGAGCTGCTTGTCCAAGGGCGTCATCCAATATCTTTGTGCCCTGCTCTCTTCCCCAGGAGTCGGATGATGCCTGTGGTGCTTTAAGGGAAAATTTTTAGGCCAGCAGTCTTGGAATGCAGAGATAGGTTCTACTAGGAAGCCACCTGAACTTTTCTGGACTGGGCCTCCATGTTACCTGCTAATTGGGGGTGGGAGCAGGAGGGGGCTGTTCAGGTATTCCAAGCATTACAGTTTGGAGGAAGTATTATGGATACTGGAGTAACCCAGCTTATGAGGGCTACTCACATTGGAGGTTAAGGGTATTCTCTGAGAAGGAAATGAAAGAAAATGAACATGTAATGAAGGAAGAGAAACCTCTCCCCACTGACGATATGTAAACGGGTGCTAAGAGGTTCCCACACATCTCAGTTTAGTGACTTGAGAGGCAAGAGTAGAAATGTGTCAAAATTAAAAGAACTTACTCCTTGTCCCTAGTGCCAGGTAGTATGGGTGTAGTTGTTCCATGAGTTATTGACTCTGCCACAGAAAGGAATCCCAGAGCAAGTCCAAAATTTAAGAGAATTAATTAGGAAAAAACATGTTCAAGAGAGAGCATGGGCACCTTAAAAGAAAGGGCACATGTTTGCCTTTGACAAAAAGCTTTATATATTTTTACAATGATGATTAAGCAAGCCATGAGCTAAGAGCAGAGGATTGCAGGTATCTGGTCATAAGTTTTGATTATCATCTCTCAACCTTTCAAGGTCCCAAGGACCTTCTAAATAATGAAAATTGCTGTCTATTAATAACTAGATTTGGACTTTTCTTAGGAAATTATGCCTGTGTTTTGGGTAATTCCCTATTGTTTTTGTGATTTACTGCACTGATAGTTTCACATTCCAACCCACGAGGTGGTCAGGCTGGTTGGGTGGAGGTCATGTACCAACAAGAAAGACATCGTAATGCTTAAGCTGTTCCTCGGTTATCTACACCTGACCTACGTAAGAAAACTTTCTTAACTACATCTAAACTATGTGCTGTGCTAACTCTGTCTGTCTCATTTCCCGTAGCATACTTTGAGGAAAAACTGATGAGGGTGGCAACAGGGAGACGGTGGCCATATAGTCTCCAGGAGGGAAGATGGTAGACTAAGAATCAATCTCCGTATCTACCTCCAGTGGGTCTTGCCTAAGGACTCAGGCTTTGTGTCCTTGACACCTTTGGTAGCAAGGGACTTGATGGTCCGTAAAGCCAATGTTACTGGCCCTTGGGACCATTCACTGATTGTCCTTGTTCTGGCTCCTCTGGCTTTATCCAGCAACTGGGCTTTAGGTGTAGATTTGTCCATAAAGGGATAGGGCATAACAGAAGAGCCCGGCTTTTTTAGGGGGGGAGGGGCATAAGTTCCAATTGTCTGTAAATGAACAGATCAGCATTAAGGTTTAAGGTTGTCACTTCCCTGAGCCTGATCAATTCTGGAAGCATCCACAGGATTGCACTCCTAGACACAAACCTGAGGGTCATGTCCTGGAGATTCCACCTCCATATTGTGGGGGTGGGGAGATGAGGGCGACTAAATCTCCTTAAGGATTTACTATGCGCCAGGTGCTCTGATGCATTTACTGGAGAGTTCTATTTGTGATTTCCTCGGAGTTTATTTCTTGTTCAGCAATCATTTAAGTGCTTCCTAGGTGCCAGGCACTGTTCCTGATAATGGGTCACACTTCCTAAAAGTGGAGTCTGAAGGGGGATTTGCACATGTGGTTTATTGAGGGAGTGCTCTCAGGTGGAAACTTTTAGAGAAGTAGGGAAGGGAAGCAAGACAGGGCAGGAAAAAGAGTGAAGCTAGGATGTGGTTTTGGCTAGAGTCTATCCTCAGCCCGACCCCACAGATAGCTCTGGAAGGTGAATTGCACCACAGAGTTGGTCCCATCATGTACCCCCGTGTTAGTCAGTCCTTGGCTGGGCTCCCCCATGTGGGGTTGAGGCAAGGTGATGGCTGGAGAAGCTAAGGAATGAGACAGTGCCTATCAGCTGAGGGCATCTGTCTTGAGAAGAGGGCAGACAACTGTGACCTATGAACAGTGAACACAACAGCACGGATGGGGGCATTAGTCAGTACAGGGGACCTCTGTGGGGCACCAACAACATATACTGCAGTGGGTATTGTGTGATAAAGGATTAACTTAGCAAGTCTGGGTTGTCTAAACCCTACACATTTGAAAGAAGGATTTGACTTTTGCCAGGCCTCTGGGAGGTAATCTTTAAGTCCTTAGAATATCCTGCCAAATAAAAGTGTCTTTGATTGCCTGGGGGCCTTGGGCTGCATAAGATAGTCTATGCTAACAAACGTTAGCACTTATGTTTTGGTGACCTTGGACTTTGACCTCTAGAGAGGTTGAACTAAGGTCAACCACATGGGCAGTCAATCATGTCTCTATAACTGATCCCCAACAAAAACCAGCAAGCTCCCCTATTGACAATACTCTGTGCGTATTGTCATATACCATGCTGGGAGAATTAAGTTCTGTTCACACAACTCACCCACAGAGGACAACTGGAAACTTGTGTCTGGTGTCTTCTAAACCCTCCTTTACTTACCTGTTTCCATTTCTGGCTTTTTTTTTTTTTTTTTGAGTTGGGGTCTCACTCTGTCGCCCAGACTGGAGTGCAGTGGCTGCTCCTGGACACCGCAGCCTCGACCTGCTGGGCTCCAGCGATCCTTCCGCCTCAGCCTTGCAAGTAGCTGGAATTACAGGCGCGCGCTATCACGCCCGGCTGATTTTTTGATTTATTGTAGAGATGAGGTCTCGCTGCCCAGGCGGGTCTCGAACCCGCGGGCTCAGGCAATCCACTCACCTCAGCCTCCCAAAGGCGCGGGATTATAGGCTGAGCCACCGAGCCCGGCTCCAGTTCTGGTTTTAATCTGTCTACTTTCTCTGTAATAAACTGTAAACATGAGTATAAACACTCTACTGAGTTCCATGAGTCCTTCTAGTGAAACATTGAACCTGAGCATGGTCTTTGGAACCCCCAAAGAGAGTTAGTGCCAGGAGTGGGACTCACTAGACCAACCTTGACTCACTGAAACATGGTAAAAGCATGATTTGAGAGAAGGAAGAATGGGGGAGGGGGTGGGACTGGCAAGCTTTTTTTTTTTTTTTTTTTGAGCTGGAGTCTCACTCTGTCTCCCAGACTGGAGTGCAGTGGCCCTCCCGGCCACCACAGCCTCGACCTACTGGGCTCTGGCGATCCTTCCACCTCAGCCTTCCGAGTAGCCGGAATTACAGGCGTGCACTACCATGCCCGGCTTATTTTATTGTAGAGATGAGGTCTCGCCTGCCCAGGCGGGTCTCGAACCCGCGGGCTCAGGCAATCCACTCACCTCAGCCTCCCAAAGGCGCGGGATTACAGGCTGAGCCACCGAGCCCGGCTTGGCAAGCTTTTGACTTCGGGATGACCACTTGGCCACCCACAGTATGGATCAGTTACTGGAGGTAAAAGCTACCACTGGAATTTATTAATGGTAGAGCCAGCTCCTGAGGAGTTGCTGAGGAAATCTTCCAGAAAGCACAATAATAACTGAAAACAACAGATGCTGGCGAGGATGTGGGGGAAAAGGGAACATTTCTACACTGTTGGTGGGAATGTAAATGAGTACAGCCTCTGCAGAAAACAGTGTGGCGATTTCTAAAAAATCTGAACATCAACCTTCCATACGACTCATCAATCCTCCTCCTAGGAATATACTCAGAAGCACTCAAATCACTCTATAAAAAAGATACCTGCACAGGCATGTTTATTGTAGCATTATTCACAATAGCAAAAACTTGGAACCAATCGTGCTGCCTATTGAAAGTGGCCTGGATAAAGAAAGTGTGGTACATTTACACGATGGAATATTATGCAGCCATAAAGAAAAACCAAATTATGAACTTAGCAGTAACCTGGATGGAATTAGAGTCTATAATACTCAGCGATTTATCACAAAGATCTGAGTACCACATGTACTTACTCATAAGTGGACCCTGAACATTTATCATAATACTGTAAGAAAGGGATTGGCAGTGGTGGGACACTGCTGGGGGGACACAGAACATCTATAGGGGTACCCACATTTTACTAGTATGATGACCACATGCGTACCTAACCCTGAATTATACCCTACATTTTTAAAATAAAATAATTTAAAAAATAATAATAACGGAAGCTCACAAAGACAAGAGGAAAAACCAGTAAAATTAGAGGACCAATGTTTGAATAATGGTAGTTCTAGAAAATTAGAGAAAAAGAAGGGAAAATATATTTCTAAGTCAAGAGACTCTTCAGAACTAAAGGACATGATTCTCTAGACCATAAGGTCCCAGTTCACTGCACAAGTAAATGAAAAAGGAGTGACATCAAGGTACATGATGACAGTCAGATGATCAGGAATAAAGAGACACTCCTATAAGCGTTTGAAAAAGCAAAAGTTCACATACATAGGACTGGAAGTCAGAGTGGTATCAGCAGACAATAAATTAATGCCCTCAACAT